AAAAAAAAGAGAAAAAAAAAAGGGGGCCAATAATATCGGAGGGCTGTAACTCTATAAATTGGAGAAATCACTTGAGGAAAGACAAGCTCCGGTCCGGGACTGGGCGCCGCCTGTTCGACCAGGTGCAACCTTGATATTATACTCTCCATTGATAAGTGGTAAGCAACAGGGCTATCAGCCGGTTGTCCATGAGACACTCCTAAAGTTGGGCATAAATGATGTGCCCTGAACACTACAAACCGGAATGCATTATCTTTAGATTGTTCGTCATTTGTTTTGTGCTATTCGGAATACAGATTAGTGGTGGAGGGTACGCCATTTCATGACTTGAGTCCTTTGTTCAAAGACGGTTCTACGGTTGGTCCATCCAGGATGTGAAAAATGACTACAGTGTGTAGGAAAATAGTTCCAGCTAAATCATAAACAGCTAACTGACGGCCTCGTGACGCTCGCCCTTTCAGCCTCATCAAAGCATCACAGCAGGTCTCACCTATATTACGGTGAAATGAGAATACCGGGTGCAGACCAAACACGCACAAAAATAGTGATATGAATATACAATCTGTTCTGTGTGGTAATACAGGCCAAGTTGTCGCCTGATGAGAGTGACGTTGGCTGTACTGCTGATAAGTCACCAATAACTGATTGCTCAATTGTCCAACCAGTAACCGGAAGAGTGGAATTACCAAATAGCCGATGGTTTGTAAGAGCGTCACTGCTGATAAATCTCACCAGACGTAAATTAGTTGTAAAGTAACCCCTGATTTTGAGATATAGGCTAAATTCACCTACACGATTGGAGTTCTTCTGCATCGCTTAAAAACCGAGAATTTTATGAGTTGGAAGAAATTGAATTTCATTTCCATGGGAACCAATATCTGAAGAATTTTTTCGGTTTCAAACTTAGAGTCTTCGCTTAAAAAACATCTGAAAACTCTATGCTTTTGAACACCGCTGTCAAAGAGCGCACACTGAAAGTTCGGCGAAAAACAGTGATTAGGGAACGTCCCTTCAGCAATACGAGTCTTAGACAATTGTCTAGCTGCACTGTCCAGAAACCAGGAAGTAAACTTTGCAAACATGCACTGGATGAAGTTCATCCACAGTGCCCAGGGTGGCGCTGTCGTCTCATTCGGCACCTGAAAACTTTTATTAGCACCGTCAAATAGATTGTGAGAGGTTCGGGCTTAACCTAACATATGGTATCTGTTGCTGGAATCGGAAATCGACTCGTTGTGTGTGTGGTCAGTTTTCGACGACCGTTCCTGTCAGTAGTAGTAATACAAAACCCGTGAAGATGACTTAATCTGTCACGGAAAGTGGTCACCGTCACTTTTAATGCTTGAAGTTTCCACCCCTACTCTCAATAACCGCCTTGTTGGACGTATCAATGCTACTGACAACTTTCTTGAATAATCCATCGCCAAACAACCATGTGAATTTATTTGGACAAAATTGCGCTCCGGGCAAAAGACACTGTTTTCCGCAAAATAGGAAGAGGTTTAGCAAAATTACTACGGCCTGTTCACGAGTCCCGGGCAACATTTTATTTGACTTCCTTTCTTTATCACACCGAATAATGCAGTTTCAGCTGCTACGTCTATCTAGGGAAAATTAGGTCTGTTAATCTCGTGCTAACGCAAGAAAAAAAGAGGCCATTTTCAAGTCATTTTCCAAACTACCAGATGAATGTTTCACTTTGTGAGCACGTGATAAATCAAACAACCTACCCTTAACGTTTTGATGACACTAATATTTCCCAGAGTTATATCGTTGTAGTAAGCTTTCATATTGGCAAACGCACGTTCATGGTTGGCTTCCAGAGTTTGGATATGTTTGTTCTTGTGTTCTTCGGTCATGTGAACCTCTACTCGACGTTGTGTGTCAATCTGTTCCCGGAGCATGTTCATTTGTTTTGCTGCTCGTGCCTCAATTTCCTCTATTTGGCGCGAAAAATCCTGTCTGATGTGTGCTAACTGTAATTCGTGAGTCAGAAAGTAATAATCTAAATGTGTACTGAAAAACGGTTGCACGAAAATATGTATAGAAAACATGGAACAGAGTAAAAGAAGACACTACTTTTAGGTTAGACGAGAACAGATGAACAGCAGCTCATGTATATCTGAAAATTGACACAGTGAGGAGAAAAACGCTCATAACTCAGATGCACTCACACACAAATCCACGGTAACCCTTATACCTAACCTAGATAGGGCACTCCTGGATGAGGAACACTTACCCGACTCCCAGTTACGTAAAATACAGAATCTCGAAAACCAGTGCTACCTACCCCCTCAATGATTGAAAACAAAAATAACTTTGGCACTTGTGTCAATTTAAATCATGGGCACCATACCAAAGTGCGCTATCAGATACTTATATAGGACGCCCTATTACCAGTGATAACTGTTTTTCTGGGTAAACTATGAGGTTCACGTTAATTGTCCAGTGGAACCAGTACGACCTTACGAAAACCTTGGATATAATAATTATCCCGTCAATTAAAACAACATGTACTAGATCTGTCACGATGGGTGCTCCCACGTGGGTTACAGTAACACTTTCATTTAATTAGTATTGTGACACTGTCATAACAGTTCTTTATACAGGTGCTTTAAAATGTGTTTTCCCCCATAGTAGTGTAAAAAGGGCCAGTCACTAATTCCGTTTAATTTGACGTCTGATTCTTTCTCACTTTAGGTGCTCATCAGCACCATGGACTTACTGCAGTCACATGGTCCTAAAAAGTGGAATACCAACACGGTTTATACAATCACCTTTACTTGTGCGAATTTTAAAGACCTATCATTTTGGCCATAGGTAGGAGAAAACCTTTTGTGAATTATTTGGATGGTAGGATAACATTCTTTCACCTACTGCCGTCGCTGGTGCTCGGATAGAACATCCCGGACCACCAACATCCTTCATAAAAACTAGGTGCTTCGACGAGCACAAAGTGAAAATAAAGATAGGAATATGAGTTATTTTCTGAAGCACTAGTTTGTTTTGGTCAGATCTTAAGGGAACAGCCTACAATGGATCCCCCAACTTGAGCTGTAACAATAAGTAAGAAGTTAGAGGCATACAGCACACAGCATACTGAAGCGGGGCTTTCTTAGAAGAAATTTGCATTCTACCACTTGTAGCGTGATGAACAGTGGTCTTTTACAAATGACTTGTTGGTTCCGGACCAGTTTAATTTGTTCGCGAACAAATTCTAGTTCTCATGTTCCATAAAAGGCAAGAAGACTGGCATTCTTACACGTCGTTCTTGAACAACCGAGATTCTTCTTTTAGCCATTAGCTAAATAAAATTGGTCATTATTTCATAAAATTCAAATACAATTCGGTGTACCAAACTGATGCACTACTTATAATTACTCAAAGGCTTAAATACGTCCTCAGAACCGAATTGTTTTTTAATGCAATTTATCCTAATTTTTTCGTCTGTCTTTCTATGGATCTTCGTCAATTAGGATACTGAACGGTTGGGTGACCTTCTGTTGATTTAAAACAAAGGAGTCCTTTTTAATCGTAATCTGGATACAGGCAGGTGAAATAACGTACATTAGTGAGCAAATGTGAATACAGGTGACTTACATCAAGCTCATGCTGTCGCTTAAGCATCTTTACAGCTTCCTCCGATTGTACTTGCTGCTGGCGTAACTTTGCTTTTAATGCGTAGTTCTCATTCCGAATCGCTCTTATCTCTGCCCGAGCTTCGTCTTTTTCATTACTCAGTCCTTGAATTGCCTCCTTTTTGGCTTCTGATTCTTTGGCATTTTGTTCAAACATCAAGTGTTTCAATTTTTGACGATAAATCTAAAAGTTTAAAAATTACGTAGTATGAGTCGCGCCTTGTGTACTACTTGCTGGCAATCAGTATACTTGCAAACATCATACGTGTAAGTTGAACTTTGAATTCCACATACAATTCGTGTGTTCTACTTTCACTGGCACTTCCAACAAGCCAAACCATCTTGAAACAAAACCATCTTCAGGAAGTCATTAATCACAGATAGATGTTTGGGTGAGTGAATTTTGCGGCAAAGTGCTATTCCAATATGCACATTTGTACCGACCCTTCCCAAAAATAATGACAAGGTGTTATAAGGATACAATCGGGCGGTTACAATGAGATCAAAAAGGAGTTGATGAAAAATTACCTGGTGTGGACGTTTTTCATCATGTTTAGGCCAACTGATGACCCTCGGAATACTCCTGTGTGCCTGTGCATCGGTTTCTTTCAAGTGCAAATCAAATCCGGGGGTTCGCGCATAAAAAGACATTTGTTTCCGCTCATGGAGATGCCAACTTAACAGTTAGGGCTCAAACATGCTGAATGCTAAACAGTTACGTCAACCGCCTACCTTTCGATGGTCAAAATAATGCAGTCAAGGGAACAGAAGTGAGCAGCGTACGATTTCATGCAAGTATAAAAAATGATCCACATCTTTGTTGTAGTTGAGTTTTCAGCATATGAACCCCTACAGTATCGAATGGATGATGGTGACCTCCTTTATTTTAGCTCCTTATTTCATTATTAGCTAAGTTTTGCTAGTGAAAATGTCATAGAACTGCACGCTGGTCCGTCTTGCAGCTGTCTCATTGTTGCAGCGATATAGTCCAACGGTTCTTTCCTAACATTTCGGTGCAGCTGGTTATATTGCTTGATTTCTGTGGTTTTTTTCACCTACTCACATGATCTCCGTTATTTTTCGTTTGAATTTTGGAAATAAAAAATTCCCTACCCGTTATGTACACTTGTCCACAGGACAGTGGCTTTTGCACCCGTTTTCGCGTATTTTTTCAAATATCTGAAATTACTTATTTTCGTCATTTGCCCAGGCCGCCTTTGTAAATGGAAGAAAACCTCCCCGTAAATATGTCGCAGTCTAGGAAATGGCAAAATTTCAAGCAAGAGTTTTTCATTGCAATCTGGCATACATATTTCACCACTGCCTTAGTTACTTATGAAAGTCACTCAGCACAAGATACTTCCAACGAACCACAAGTGCACCGAATAGTCGACTCGTCAATGAAAACAAAGCTGAAAGGTTGAAAAGGGCTGGAATGGTTAGTAGCCAGTTGTGAGCATCATGAGCACGAAAAAAACGCATTGTGCATCATGTGAATTTTCGCGATTTGGATTATGGGAGTTTTTTGTGTGGCCGATGAATTGGTTCATATGGGAGTTTTTGTGTGGCCGATGAATTGGTTCAAATCAAAAGTTTAGTCGGAAGATATGGAAAGTTTCTCATCAAAATTTTCGTTCCTAATAATCCTGGTGAAATTTTTGTGTGTATTTTTAGCTTACTTATCACATGGCGCAACGAAATGTTCTACCTAACCGTTTCGAAGATTTCATTGTTAGTGCTCTGGATTACAGATGCTTTAAAGTCTTGTTCAGTGCTTCAGATAATTTTGGCAAAGCGTAGTCGGTTAACTGACTTTTGAGTATTGTAGTCTGTATCGAGGCTATCAATAGATCAGTGAATCTATTTAAGACAGACCACTCGAGCAAGCAGCTTTAAAGTGGCCGTAATTTTACTCAATTTTAGTGGAATTTCCTGTCTCAAGAAAAGCAACGCCAAGCTTCGAAATATTTCACAATCTTTTAATCGAAATCATTATTAAAAAGGATTACAAAACAACGGTTTTTTAAAAAACATTGATGACTTATCCAAGGCTTGCATGACACTTTCGAACGGTAAGATTTGTGAAACTCAAGACAACGTATCGATGGATATGGAAACTTTGGAAACCTGTTTGAAACAGTCACGTGATGAAATTAAATTCAGAACCGCTTCAACGCAGAAGCTAGTAGTCCCACAATGGGAGTATTCACACTATTTTTCGGACCCAAAGGTGTTGCGTTGGTGTGCTTTAATGGCCGCGATAGTTGTGCTTACCGGAATATTTGTTTTCTTATTTTTAGAGAGTCTTGTGCGAGCAGAATGAGGGTCAGTAACCATTATTGGTGGTAATCATAATCACATTTGAGACCATCTTCTGGTAAATGTATACTCTCTAGTAATGCAGAAGAGAAATAGAGTAAATCCTCTGCCACGGGCAACTGATATTCACGCATTTGTCGCCACAGCGGTCCTTTTCGGCTTGTCAGCAAATGCTAGAAATAAAAACTGCATATTCCGCCCACCCACAGGTTGAAATTGATTACCCGTGTATCAGCTGATGTGGTTGAAATACTTCTAAAGTTTGCGACTAAAAATATTAGTAGCTCAGATTAAAAAAGTGACCGCTAATTTGTTTGTCGATTTGGGCTTATGAAAATACGTCTAAGGCCTTTAAAACTGTCACAGGAGCGCGGCGAGTCTGTCTATTTAAGCCAAATCCTTCATCTAACTGAAAAATGCGCAAAAACACTGTGGAATACATACAGTATGACTATTCGGCATCTTTCTGTGCAATTTAAAACGTCGCCTAGGCGTAAAAATTCATTTGTTGAGTTATTCTGTCGACTGCGCCTTACAGGTAGATTTTAAAGCTAAACTGCATCATCTAAAACCTTCATTCAGGTTTGGTCTATCTGTGACTATATCTGAGAAAATTAAATCCCAAAACCATCTTCCCACCCAAAACCAAAACTGAATCAATAAAATAGCAAGTTGCCTAGATGTGTGCTACGATGTTGTAGTTGTGGAGCACTAGGTAAACGATACATTAAAAGCAGAAGTTGAATTTAGGGGAGGTCAGAAACGTGCTTTGATAAATCATCTACAAGTAAACACAAAACTGCAATGCCGTCAAATTGTACAATATTGTGTACGGCAGCGAGATATGCATCATATTTGTCATTTTATACAGTAGTAACTACATGGGTTTCGGACATATTTTTTACAAAATGATGTTGCCAAATAAATATCTAAACCCAAGCTTACTCTTGCCATTAGCAGAATTAATCAGGGGTTTTTACTTGATCATTAGTAGTGATTGACATCTTTTTCATCTGGTTCAAGGTATAAAAAGCTCAACCATTACCTTTGTCTTTTGTTGTGATCACTTGAGATGTGTGACTCTATTTCTGAAGAAACACCGCACTCACAACGTAATTTAGGCGAACATTAGAACTGTACACAAAATTTGATTGTCTGGGTCTGCAGTTATTTTGCTTTTCGTATGCATTTCTTGTATATGTGAAAACAAGAAGCTCGTGGTTAAATAGTTTATTTCTGCCAGTTTTTGCAAAATATATATTGGAAGACATGCTGGGTGCCTTTGGACAGTCAACTACTATTATTTGCTGTATCCTCATGGAAGTCCGTAGAAAACTGTTTTATTATTGCAGATCAATGGCCTATACACTGCCATTGTCGTTTTTTTGTCCCTGAGAAACCTAAGAGCAGATCTTGATACCACATACTCTAAGTTGAGGCAATCAAGTCATTCCCTTTGTCGAATTCAAATGTTACCGTTACTATATAGAAAGTTAAACAGTACTCATTACAAAATCATTAAATAAGATTTGACTATTTCTTCGCTGTGGACAAAACGACCAAGAGCTTTTTATTTTTGGTTTGGAATATCACACTTAAGTGCAAAAGCCAACCAAATTTGACTTTGGTTGCGTGTAATATTACTTACTTACTGAGGTGTGTAGTTTGTATTCGCTTGAATTTTAGAATTCTGTTTCTCAGTTTGCCAACATTTAGTTTACCAAGATTACGGTAACTTACTGACATGGTTAAATAAAAGATATCAAAGTTTATCTCATTGTTGCCTCACTAGCCAAGGGAGTTTGGCAAGATATCGGATCCTAGATATTGTGAATTCTGTTTTCAAACAATATGTAGCACTCGTTTTTGCTCTGACCACTGAAGTAAAAGTGAAACTTATTGGTATTTCGATGTTTTATCCATCTTATTTATATCGGCGCTTCCTCAGAAATATTCCATTTATGCTTCTTCCTCGATAATTTATAAATATATTGATTTCGTAGAATACGATGTGATGTTTGGTTTACAAATTACAATCGTAAATGTACAACACTTGAGGTCATGTAGGTCACTTTTTATTCATTTGATAAACCGATTTTTGTTCTGGGAATATAGAAGGCTAAAATATTTTTCGGGCCTGATTGTAGAAAACAAAAAAACATCTATTCAGCAGTGAGACAAAATGGGTTATATAATATATTTAAGTAGCCACGGTTAAGTATAATGCACCCAAAAATTGTAACTTAAAGCAGAACACCTTGCCCTATACATCCGGTCACAACAAACTGCAGAAAATATGGCAAAACAACAATACACCACAATTTCACCCTGCTGTATGACAATGTCGGGATAATTAATTGTGGAAAAACGTTCGATATTGAGGTTTTAAGTTACTCTCAACACATTCAAAAGGTGCCACATCTCAATGATTTACGTCTATTTGGTCTATTTAAAATACACGTGAAAGTGAGCACAATATGGTCCTTTGAAAAGCCATAATTTGCTTTCGATTCCCTCAGTATATTTGCACCGTTAGTTACAGCTAGACTAAACTACCTAATGTTACCAAAAGATTGGGCTATTCTTGTAAATGACAGAAATCAGCAAACAATTATTTTTGGGGTTAGCGCAACATAACCAATGAGAATACTTTTTACGAATGAAAAAAATTACAGTGAAATATGTTATTGACGGGCATTTTTTCGGTGATTATCTCAAAATGTCTTTTTTATTATAAGGAGCGTTAACAGTGACGTTTACGACATGAAATATTACTATTATTAATAATTAATTAATTAGTTAGTATCAATAATGGTCCAAATAATTTAAGGCCTATCGCTATTTGCGGAGCATCTTAATAAAACATTAAGCAGTTGTTATCCAGCTAAGACACGTGCCTTTGGTCTATAAAATGTCGATTTGATAAGAATGGGGTCCAAAAAGTTTAAAACCTACAACGTCAAGAATGAAGGTGCTTCCTCCTCGAGGCATGGCAATTAGTCACCAAAACTTCGGTACAGCTGAAAAGATCATATATATTATTATTACAATAATAGATATTTGCGCAACTTTCTGAATGAATTTCTTTTAAGCTTCATTGAACTGCAATGTTTTTGAAATATTGACTTATTAGTAGTCACTCTTCTTGATCTTCGTTAAACGACAGAAAAAGCTAGGGTAATTTATGGATCGGAAATGAGTGAACCAACCTGTTAATTGATCGGTTTCAAAGAAGAGCATTCACCATGTGGCGAACTCGACTTCTACTTTAAGATCATTACTTGACAGTTTACGCCTACTCTGAGCCCGTGGTCTGCCCCATCCGTTTAGTAGCAAAAATTCCTTGTTTTCCAACCATGGCTTTAGAAATGAGATTGCTAAATCTGTCCTTCTCAGGAAAAACGAACGCTCTCACCTGTCTGACTTGATATCATTTTATGAACACACTTATTTAAATCCACTTCGGTCCTACCGCCAACAAGAAAACCACACATAGTCCTGATGAATAATACCACTTTAATGTAGATTATTATACTTTTAGGATGTTTGCGTGTGCGTGCACCACCTAGAATGTGCTGGAGGTAGGATAATGACGAGCAAAGCCCTCTGAGCCAGGTAAAAATCAATATATAAACAACTGAAGTTAAAAGTGGGCCGAGATTGCTTTAATTTATTTGATAGCGGAGAAAGACCCCACGGAGCTTAGTTAAACTGATGGTTGTTAGTTCAAGTCTTAGGGTTGTGTGTCTCATTGATCTTGAATACCGTCTGAAGGCCCAAGGCGGAGAAAAGTCAGTAGAAATGACTGATTGAACAGGCATATAAACAAACGGAGCACAAGCCTCAATAAGTCGCAGAGACCATCAACGAACAGAAAGCAGGTGGTGGTAAAATATGAATGTCTTTGTGCAGCCTACTACAGGACTTTTTCATGGAGCTACGAGCCTATTTCGAAGTAACCTCCTAGTTCCGGAGTTAACAGAAACCTTAGTTCACAGCTTCATAGAAGAGCCAGTCTGACGTCGTTTGAAGCAGATTCAGATAGTCTGCTGATATATATATATATATATATATCGTTTACTTCTCACGTGAAATCATTTTCTAAATATCGTTACTCTATCAAATTTTTCCCTGCGCCGTCCAAATTCGCGACTGGCATGAAAGTCTGGCGAAGAGTTCAGTGTCAGCCTTGCTAAAAATGAGAGCTATAGAGGTACTTCAAGATATTGTAAGTCTAATTTTTCCTGGTCATCTGAAAAATAAGTTAAACACCATCACTGGCTATGAGAGGTGGTATTTCAACAGCTGATGTCTACTATGGGATTTCTGATGCTGGTCTGTAAGTCAAAAAATGATGGTGCCCATTTAACTCCCTAAATATCACGAAATTGGATTTTATATGTAACTCCGGGAATTCGAAACAAACATGTCTATAAACATGTTTGGGACAAGTTTATCAGTGGTAACCGATACATCGAATGCTTATACATATGTTTTGTCACTGTTTCAGACGTCCGTATTGAACCAAGAAGCTGGGATCATTGAATTGGATGTGCCACCGAACTGACTCTGTTTGGTTGTGAGACAGTTATTTTCGTACATCAAATATATTTTTATCCTTGTTTTGCGTTCCCTAAGATCCCGTTACTAGGTTTATTTTCTTCAATGGATACAAAGACATGCACGCGTGTGGTTACCAGTGTAGGTAAGTCATTTTGCGTTTGTTAACCGCAAACCGTTTCGCGCGATTATTTAACCGTTGAACTCGATTAATAAGTGGTCAGGAAGCCATCAGATAGTCCCTCTAGGATGGAATACACTACGGCACCGTTAGTTAGCTTCTCCGTGGCCCTACAATGCGGTTAATGCGTGGCTACCTATACAATGTTAAGCCGTTATGACGACGTAGGATAGGACCAGTAAGAGCGACTAACGGTAGTATGGTGGCTATTTCACTAACGAGGGTCATTTAATCGTCCAGTCACCAGTTAACCCCGTTATTAAACCGTTTAACAACAGAAAAACATGGTTTTTTGACGGTTATTTAACCAAGCAATAACCGGCAGACAGTTATTTGACGGTTATTTAACCGAGCAATAACCAGCAAGCACGGTTATTTGACAGTTATTTAACCGAGCAATAACCGGAAAAATCGGTTATTTGATGGTTATCTTGGTGCAAATAACCATCTGTTAACCATAAAAGTCGGTTATTAGACGGTTATATAACCGTCATTTAACCGGAAACTCGGTTATTTTGGACTGCGCGTGCTGCTAGGGTAATGATCAAAGTTCGGATTTCAGTTCTGAAGGATTTCAGAACATTAGCATGGGTGAAATTTTCCCAACTAGGATGGCACCATCGCACTTCTAGGAGAAAATATCAATTGACATTTTACCTTCATTTCCAGTTGGTGCCGTTCGTCCGCATCTTCTATCTCTCTTTCCTTCTTTGCGAGGACGGCACGCGAATCATCGAGTTGCTTTTTGGTAAGTTCCCAAAAATTTATTATTTTTTCTTTCTCCAGGGTTGCAAGGTTCCGCTCCTGTCTTTCACGATCAACCTCCTCTCTGAGTAGTATGACAAAAGCTTCTATCTCTTCCTTCGTCATATCCGCCGTGCTCACTCCATGAATAACCGTTGTATTCTTACTTGTCCTCTTCTTTTTCTTCTCGGCAGCCTTCTTTGGTGGCTATATTTTTAGATCGTTTACCCAAGCCTTCACTTACCATTTCAACGTTTAAAAAATCTTGGATGACTTATCGTGGCCTAGGCCAACGAAAGTAACCGTTTAAAACAATAAGTGAATTACTCTGTGGAACTGAATATGTTCCAAGAGGGCATACTGTTTTGCTGCAGTCTTTACTGCCAGTGCATTGCTGAGTATTTCATTTCCCAAATGGGATGTCCAAGCAAATACCCCATAGAAAAATTCAGAACGCACCAAAATCCGAAGGAGTTTAATCTAGGATATTGATTCCTTCTCCCACAATTTCCGCGAGGAAGATCCTTTTGGGTGGTAGAGGCGCTTAAGCATTCCCAGCGTTCGACGTTGACCACAAAGGATCTGGAGTTCCCTGTAGACACCTCAAGGTCAAAATGATTACTTCCGACGAATCATTGCCTGTCGCCGTGCGTGAGCTGACAGATTCACGGATTCACGGATTGATACACAGGATCGAGGCTTTTGCCCAAGATTCCCGGGTCGGTTTTGTTCTTGTCGGTCAGTGGCTGTCGTTCACCTGAAAGGCACAAGCGAAAAAAGGGTGTAGCACTGCTCTTTATGTTCTCAGCGCGGGGCAGTATGCTCGCCAGCGCGAGGATTCGCATAAATAAATGTCTAATAGTGCTTTAAATTGGGTTCGTGAAGGAGCGTGTACAACCGTCGGAGG